GGCAGAGGCGGAGGGAGAAGAAGACTCCCCGCTGAGCAGAGAGCCCGATATGGGGCTCGATCCCTGGGACCCTGAGATCATGACCTGAGCTGAAGGCAGGCGCTTAACCGACTGAGCCACCCAGGTGCCCTCCAAATGGGCCTTTTATATGCCTGTTTTAAATTTGACCTTTCATCCTTCTGTTTGTATGCTGCGGGGGGCATTAGAATTGCTGAAAACGGGGGCAGCAGTTTAAGGAAGGAAAACAGGTCATGGCTAACGTGTCGCATGAGAGGGCTTTCACATCCCAAGTTGTGGGGTTGGCAGGCCTCTTCGCTCTGGTCTGGCCTCCCGTCATGCCCTGCGTGCATCCCCATGAAAGCTCTTGCTTGCAGTATAAATGATCTGAAACAGGTGAAAAGTCTAAAATAAAATATGAAAAGAATAGTTTCAGATTAGTTGTATGATGTGAAAAAAGTTGGCTTACATAGGTGATTAATGATGCAATAACAAGCAGCATTTCATCAATGAGCTTGCTAGTGGGTGGTAAGCAGAACAGCATTAATCCGTCGGCTTTCTCTTTATTCTCCCTTAGAGCTGGTATTACAAAGAGTTAATCAGCCCCACCCCATCATTGGAGACTAGAAATTATAGCCAAGAAAAAACATCACCTGTTAAATTTTGAGTACCCCCAAAGTCAAGTCTATTCATTATGATCTTTTGGCAGTTTGATTGTTTCCTGCTTGTAGTTCAAAGTTAATGGGATTCCAGGGTGGTAGTTAGTGACCTCCACAACAGGTTGATGATTATTGCATTTTATCTTAGATTTGCTGTTATGCAATCAAAACAGACCGGTTTTCTTTTTTTTTTCAGTGAAACTAGCCTGAAGTGTTCGAGAGTACAATGGCAGGTAGTTGTCATTGTTGGGGAAGCAGCTAATAGACGACCAGAGCAAGTAGCATTACTATGAACTGATTACTTTAAAGAAGGGATCGATGACCGTGTAGTGCATTGAGCGCGGGTTTGTGTCCCAGTGCGCATGCGCGCACGTGTTCTCCATCACATCGGTCGTTCTTGTGAATCCGTGCAGAAATCCGTACAACGGACAGCTTCATTTTTAGCTTTTGTCATCTTTACCAGAAGCATCTCTCCTGGCAGCCCATGAATCAGTCTTTACTTCATCCCGATGCTGCTCATGCATCCTGCTCATGGATGAAGACAGCAGCTCTTAAACGAGATAATTAATTCTCATCATATTTTCCTTCCAGCTCTTTATTCTCTACCTGGTGGAATGGAGCACGGTGAATTGGGCATTGCCATGGGGACCTGCCCTTTGCACCCGGTTCTATCCACTGGCACAGGGTGACGGGCTTCAGCAGTGGCTCACCTGGTAGACGGTCTCTGAGGACTGGTGCCATGGTGTTGGGGGCCATCTGTGACCCCCACTGAGCCCTTGCTCTTTCTGCCCTCCCTTATTAAGGCAAAGGCAGGATGTTGTGCTGTCTCTGCCTTACCTCTCGGGTCAACAGAGACTTCCCCCCTTTTTAAAGCTGATTTAAAGTTATTGAATTGCTCTAAAACACTCTAGGACAGATACGTGAGGCATTCCTTGATTTGCATTCTCAAGACCTGGGACCGGGCCTTGGAGAATCCTAATTCCATTTCATGTAGCAGGACACTCACGGGCTCTGGCAGCTACTTGCATATAATATCATTCATTCACTTGGTCAGTCACTGGATCATTGTTCATTTGTCAGCCCCTGTGCGCCTGGTACTGTTCCTAGGGCGGGGTGGGGAACTTCAAGTAAACAAAACAGGGGAAAGCAATCTAACTCACAGGGTTTACAAGCTAGTGGGGAAGATACAAAATCAATATAATAAATAGGTCACTTTTTTCCCTACAATATATTAGCACATCATAGATGTTTTGGAGAAAAATAAAGCAGAGAGAGAGGAATCAACAGTACCAAGGGGTGGAGACTTTGCACAGTTAAATTGTGTGGCCAGGGAAGTCCTCATCAGAAGGTGACATTTGAGCAGACTCAAAGGAGGTTTGGAAGCTGCCATGAGAAATGAGTGTTCCTGGAAGAGGGCACAGCCAGTGCAAAGGCTTTGAGGTAGGAGAGTGCCGGGAGATGTAAAATGCTGAATGTCGTGGTAGGCACACAGGAAGTACCCAGTGAATGGCAGGTAGTACTAGTTTTGCAATTGTTCTTAGTGCTCATACTAGGTTGCTGGGTATAAATTCTATAGGGACGGACACTGCCTCTGTTTGTTTTTCCTTTTAGCATTTTTTCTCCAGATCTGGTATAGTTCATGTCAAATAATAAGACCTCAATCATTATGTGTTGAGTATTATCATTATACTTGTATTGCAAAGAAGCCTTGTGAAGTGATGGTCTTCACTGGCCTACAATTTAATCCTTACTTATTTTCTGTGGCTTATAGAAATAGAACACTGACCTTTGGCCTTCTCCACAGGGATTGTGTCTTTGGTAGGATAATAACTTACTATCAAAGTTGTAGTGCTGTGTTGTGGCCAGAACTCTTGGCTGGGAGTCAGAAGATGTGACACAGCTCAGGCATCATTCTTTTATAGTGGCTGGGATGGGTCACTCCACACCTCTGTCCTGTTTCTGAATGGTCATAGGGGTTCCGAAAAGTCCTTCTCTATTTCAAAGTTGTTGTGAGCACCAATGAGATACTATACAGCGATGTCCTTTGAAAACTCTCCAAGGCCACCTTAGAGGGAGGGGTAGGTGTCACCACGCCCGGTGGCCTTTATTGTGCAGATGGGAGCTGTGCTTTGCATTCCTTTCACGGAGGAGGTGCCTGTCTGAGGGCCGTGGCCAGCAGTGGGCTGTGATGATGCAGCAAGAGCCTCAGGGCCTCTCTGGCCATCAGATAGCTGGTCTTTGCCTTAGGAACATTTCACTTGCCGCTTCACAATGGAGGTTTGGATTTCCCGAGTTAATTTTTGTAATCATCTCTTCAGTGTATTTAAATAATTTAAACGTATTTTTCTGTTTTCAGGCCTGTGTTCAATATCTTAATTTGTGACATCTAGGTCAACCTCAGATGTCATTTTAAAAAAAGTTGATCTCAGAAACCTGGCTATATGTCCCCTTTATCCTAGCTAATTAAAAAAAAATAATAAATTCTCCTTCCTGTCAAATAATTCTTGAGGTAAGACCCATTCCATGAAGACTTCCTAAAAATAAATCAGAAATGAGATAACAATATTGTAGCTAAAAGAAAGCAGTTCACATCTGTCTCTCATCATGCTTTGCCTTCCAAATATCAGTTGATCTCTTTATTTTGTCAACACTTAAAAAAAAAAGCCCTGCCACGTTTTCCCTGTTCCTTGACATGCTGGGAATAGTGCCATGAACATGGCAGATAAAGTCCCTGCACTCACAGAGCTCACAAGTTTATGGGAGAAAAAAAAGGATTATTTTAGATTTTGTAGGGAGGGAAGGCTTTTCTGAGGAGGTGGAAGATGAGCAGAGAACTTTGTGAAATGAAGTGGAGAGCCATACAAAGCTTGTGAGAAAGGCCCATTCGGGCAGAGGGCCCAAGAGGTGCAAAAGACCCTGAGGTGGGAATGATCTCGGCAAAGTCTAGGGACAGAGAGGAGGTGAGGAGGGGAGAGTGTTAGGGAGCAGGGAAGAGGTAGGAAGGGGCCAGATCAGGAAGAGCTTTGTCTGACATGGAAGGAGTCTGGGTTTTACTTTAACTTGATAATGATTGTAAATATTTAAAATAATTTACAGTTTAAATATTTTCCTCAGATATTAGTCCATCTCCTTTTAACTGAGATTCTGTGAAGGAATTGCCAAGTGATAGCAGAGAACATTGTGGTATTTTTGGAGCTTTATTTTATTCAACCGCAAGTCCCTCAATATTCCTTAAGGAGTTTGTTGGAAATTGTCTGACAAGGATAATTAGCAGGATGAGAAGCTGTTTCACTGTGCAGAATTCTCTCCACGTGTGTTTATGTGTGAATTCATTTCAACCAGAGAAATTGAGGGTCTCATTTCTCTGTAGTCTATTCTTTACTGAATTCTATTTTATGATCAGCCCTGAGAAGCCTGGGGGTACATCAGATAGAGGTCTAATTTTCTGTTCACAGAAGCAAATGATAATTGAATAAAGCACTGAGAACATGTCCGAACCCTTTGAGATGTCTCAAGAGAAGCAGCTGATCATTTCCTTGTTTTCTAGCATGTCTCCAAATCATAACAAATGGTGATTCACAGGTCAGCAAAAGACTCAGGGGTAGACATTTTACTTAGAAACATTGTCACAATTTAAAGACCTGTGAGAGAATTTTTATCTTCCATATCCAGCAGGGTGACATTTCTCTGTGATCACCCTCCAAAATAGGTAGAAACTTTCATAAAATTCTGCTTCATGTAAGTCTTCACCATGCTCTACTCTGGCTAAAATGGTCACGCAGGGCAATCATTTTGGAAGCTTTTAATTCAATAACATCCCCTTAAAAAGGGTTGTTCATCAGGCAGAAATTGGGAGACACAGGTAAGCACATCTTTAGGGGAGATAAGTTAGTTGGGCAGTCCTTTCTCATAAGGAAACCTTACAAGGGTTCAGAAGGTGGAAAAGGAGAATCCAGTTGAGATCCTTAGTATCCTGTGTCATGACTGGCCGCTAAAAAAAATATCAAAGTTGGTATCTTCCTAATGAACCTCAGTTTTAAATGTTTACGCCCTAGAAAATTCCTCTCAATAATGTGTTGCTGAAATCAACATTATTCAGGGGCTTGGGTTTGGGGAAGCTGTTCCCTAGGTGCGTTCTTGCTGGTTGCCTGGTATCTGCGGAAGGGTTAACGTTGGGATGACCTTGGGAGGCTCCCCCACGGACCGCACAAGTAGTTCAGGCCCTGAATACGGCTGGAACAGCGTTTCCTGTAGCAGCAGCTCCAAGACACAGAGCTAATTGCCCAGCGATGGCACCGCTCTTCTTACGAGGGACTAATTGACCCATTTATGGTCTCCTTTCAGCTCGTGGCGGATCCTTGTGCCAGCACCCCCTGTCACCATGGCAACTGCAGCAGCAGCGGCGGCGGCGGCGGCGGCGGCGGCAGCGGGGGGGGCTACCTCTGCATTTGCCACGAAGGCTATGAAGGTCCCAACTGTGAACAGGCGCTGCCCAGCCTCCCCGCCTCCGGCTGGACCGAATCCATGGCCCCCAGGCAGCTGCAGCCTGCCCCCGCCACCCAGGAGCCCGACATCATCCTGCCCCGCTCTCAGGCCACCGTGACCCTGCCCACCTGGCAGCCCAAAACAGGGCAGAAAGTTGTAGAAATGAAATGGGATCAAGTGGAGGTGAGAACGTTTGATTGCCTGCGTAAGGAGCCAGTGTGGTTAAAATAATTCCAGTGGTTCTAATATTGGCAATAAAAAACAGAAGACCTTTCAGTTGCCCCCTTGACAAAACCACGTGTCTACCTTTCTTCCCCTGGGCACCTGTGTGTAGGAGATCTCTTTTGGTTACACGAAGGAGACTTCAATTATGACTGTTTTGTGGGCATAAAAAGAGTAAGCAAGGAAAGAAAACGAATGAAGCTCTTTTCTGGAACGATATCCACGTTTCTGTGAGACAGTGTTGGACTGGGGGCAGACCCTCCACTGTTGACCAAAGTTTCCTTAATATTATGCTTAACTTCTTGTTCATTATTTGGTGCCTTGCTGCCAATATGATTTTAAAAAGAGATGCTATCAGTGATTTTTAAAATATTTTGAGAATGCATTTGAGAATGAAATTTCCAAATTTTATCTATTTTGGCAGGAACAAATGCTGTTTATTGAATCTCGTCCAGTCTGGTTTTGGCTTGTATTTTCAAGCTCATCGAAAGTCTCATGTCGAGGAATTTTCAGCAGACCCTTGAAAGTTGCCATACAACATAAATTTGCTAGCTAGGAGAGTCGGGGAACAAATCCAAATCATGACTTTGAGGTGACATCGATAGATTGTAATTCCATTCCATATCTTGTATTTTATGTGACAACCTGTGATCATATATTATTACTGGTTTTGTAGCTTAAATGACAAAGCACATAGATCTTGTGTAGCAGTTTTAGAGGCAAGGAATAAGTCTAGAAGTTTCCCTTATTGTTATAAAAGAGACAGGGCAGCATTTCTTCTTTTATTTTCTTGGGTAGTTCTAACCAGTTGACCCATTTTTTTTTTTCATTGCCACACAATTTATGAAGGCCATATTCAGACTGCAGGACAGTGTTTTCAGCCTACCTAAAAAACTGTGAATGTGTTCTGATTTCAGACTTTTAATAAACGCTTTGAAGTTTTGATTTGAACCTTCCTTGCAGAGTGACTCACTTCTTAAATGTGAACTCGATTGATTCTACGTTTGTCAAGGAAGTGTCGCTTAAAGACAGTTTCTCCCCAACCAGCCATTGAAATCTATTTATTTAAAGACATGCTATCCTACTGTTAGTAAATGTAGAAAGAAATGCCTCATCTTCCCAGCATGCTGTAATTTCTTAGGCTGTTCAAGAAGGAGGTTAAAAAGTTGCCAGGGGAAGATGGGAATATATTTGGGTTTCCCCTTTTATTGAGTAATGAGGCTTCAGAAACATGAAGCTGTTTGGAATCTTAAGGGACTGAGGTTGATGTAACAGTTGTCAGTTAACACAAACTGAACAGGTGGGACTTGCATTTTTGAATATCCGTGGCAGGCCTTCTCCTTGGCACTTAACCCTTAGGCCTTCTGGACGGGAAGTTCTAAGTGTTGGGTATGGGTGGAAGGGCCGAGAATTCCTCTATTGTTCTCAGTTAATTCACTGATGAGGGATACATTTAATACCACTTTGTTTTGACTCTCCTGGGGGAAGACTGTGCTCATAGCACGAGGAATAAATGAATAAATTGGTCTGAACCACCTCACTTGGACACAGCTCCAGTGTTCACAGCATGTTTTCTGGAAGAATGCAGTTACTCCCCGCCTCTTGAGCCCCTTTTTTGTAGGCATCAGCATGTTGCTTTTGGGAACGTGTCACTTACAAAATGAAGGGGTAGTCCACGGGGTAAAAATAGGCAGCTTCCCAGCTCCTTGGCCTTAGCCTGTGCTCCCAAGACCCACCTCTGCAAGAAGCAGGGTCACTTAGACCAGGTGCTTCTTGCCAATTGCTCGTTCTAAGGCTTGCTTTCCTAGTTTATGCCTGCTGTGTGTAAGCCAGTCCTCAAAGTCTGCCTTCTTGTTCTGGAAGCATTTAGTCCCCCATGACCCCAGACTGAGCCTAGAGCAGGGGCCAGTGACTGCTCGCTAACCAGAAGAGAGGACCCTATTCACCAGTGAGAGCAATCCAAGAATGGGTAGATGGCTCTCAGGAAAGCTTTGGCATTTCAGAAAATCAAATGGCAGAGCTTTAGTTTGCTTTTGAGTTTGTAAGGTTTCATTGTCCCCTCTTTGTCATCCACAGTGTCATCCAAAGCCTGCTCATGGGATTTTGCTTTGTAATATTATCTTGTATTACGATCGACCCCGATAATTTATTTCTCCCCCACTTTCTTCCCCAGGTCATGCCAGATATTGCCTGTGGGAATGCGAGTTCTAACAGCTCTGCTGGTGGCCGCCTGGTATCCTTTGAAGTGCCACAGAACACCTCAGTCAAGTAAGAAAACCTGCAGCTAGAAACCGTTAAGCTCGATATGGTGGCCCTAAGCGGGGTTGTGTCCATCCATGTCATTGGTCAGTCTAGTGGGAATCATGAATGGAGTTCCATGTGTAGATGTGGCCTAAATCATTCAAAACCTGGAAGGACCTATTTCAGGGGAGACTATTGCAGTGGGGATCCAGCTGGGCTGGGGATGGTGAATTGTGGAATTGGACGGGATGAGTAAGGTGTGGGATCAGAAACCCTGAGGCCTTGGATAAGATCCAGAGCCAGACCCTTCACTTCCCAAATGACTTTTGCTTCCAAAATTCTTTGGCCTCTTATGATTTTAGTGGGCCACTGGTTAAATTCATGGGCATAATTTAAAATGCAAACATTACAATTTTGTTTTTAAAAACAAGCGTCTGAGGAGAGAGTATTTTGTTTGGCTTTGCTTTCAACTTAAGCTCTTTCAAATGACGTACTGCCCACTGTCACTGGTGGGGATGGGGAAGAAGCAAGGGCCGAGAACCTGCTGTGTGTCAGGCAGGAGTGTGTGGGGGGGTGAGTGAGGGTGGGGAGTGGCGGGTCGAGCCAGCCCCGGAGTGACCCATTCCTGTCTGACAACTCCCACTGCTCAGCCTTTCTCTGTTGCTATTACCCACCCCCCCCCCATCCCCACGCAACCGAATGGGAATTTGCTGGCCAGTCTTCAGGGACTTTAGAGGGACACTTGACCCTGGTGAGCTAGTGCGCTGTATCAGCTCCCCTTAAAGGGGGCAGTGGGCACTATAGACCTCTTCCATTTATCCAGAAGCATTTTTGCCCACCTTACCTTCTGCACAATGGAGCTGAAATGCATCCCCTCCCCTGGAGCCTTGAACTCACTCTGCTGGGGGGCGAGTCAGGATGGAGAGTGAACTCTGCCCAGGGAAGAAGGCCCCGTGGGGAGAAAGGTGTGGCCTCTGAGGCAGCTTCCACTTCTACCAGCAGGGGGACCCCGGTCCTAGTGTTTTACTGCTCAGAATACAGATGGAAGTAAGAGCCAGCTTTAAGGGAAATAAGGACCCGGAGTTTCCTTTAGGTTTATGAAACCCTCTCCTAGCGCTTTCTCGTCTGGCTCATGTGATCTGACTTTCATAAGCCTTCCCAAATAGTTCTGATCTTTTATCCCTTTAGATGCTTTTTGTTTTTTTACCCCATCTCAACAAACTTGGAAGTTCTCCAAGACCCTCCTAGGCTACAGGACTGGGCAAAATAGCAGGCTGACCCAGGCTGAGTGAGATGGAAGTGCCGAATAACCTCTGGGTGCCCTGAATTCACTTGTAAGGGTTGCTAGCCCCTGAGACTTTCATTTATTCATGAATTCAACCTTTTAGCAAACTCCGATTGAACACCCTGCTGCAAGCCAGGAGCTCTGCGCGCGGAGTACGCGGATCTTCTCCTGCAGGTGGAGACCTGCTTCTCCAGGAGCACGGACAAAGGGGAGGGGCGGCTGCTGGGTGCTGGGAAGAGGGTCAGGGAGGGTCTCAGAGAAGAGGTGATCTGCGGGTTAAGGCTTGCAGAATGGCACGTGAACCAGGCGCATGAGTGTACAAAGGCTGGGAGCTGGGACAGGACGTTCTTGGGGAGGGACCGTAGCTCCAAGTTTGAGCTTGAAAGGCGAACTGAGGCCAAGGCTGATTTGCTTTCTAGCATCCCATTCTTTGATTTTACCCTGGAAACAAGAAAAAGGCCAAGAGAAGCCCGAAGCATGGGTCGTGACACACTGTCGCTCATGTGGGCAGCACAACTCAGGGGCTGTTTGGGGATGCATGACACATTTATAGTAAATTCAAGCAGGGCTCCATACTGTGTGGATGCAGAAGGATTTGTCTCTAAAAGAACTCAAGATGCCCTTTTATTATTGATTACAATTGTTACGCAAAGGTGAATCATCTACTCGTGATCTCGTGGTCTATTTTTAAGCAAGTGGGAGACAGACCTTTGTAACGATTTCCCGAGACCTTGGGGGCTGCACATGTCATTTTATTTTTATTTATAAATTTGACGGACTAGTCCTAAGATGAATTTTTCTGAAAGGGACTTCTGGTTCACTCCATTCCTGTTTTCAGAATTCGGCAAGATGCCACTGCCTCGCTGATTTTGCTGTGGAAGGTCACGGCCACGGGATTCCAACAGTGCTCCCTCATCGATGGACGGAGTGTGACTCTCCTCCAGGCCCCCGGGGGCCTGGTCCTCTTGGAGGAGATGCTCGCCTTAGGACATAACCACTTCATCGGTGAGTTATGGAAGTCTACCCGACAAGACATCTGCTTCTGCCTTGATTTTGTGTTTAGAGAAGGTGGGGAGGGCGTTTTGCTCAGATAATCGGAATTCTAGACATCAACACTGTTTCCTCCATTTTAGGTGAGGTTTTACTTATGATCAAAACTGATTTCTAAAAGTCACTCAGTGTGGACAAAGCATGTGCTCTGAAATCCTGAGACTGTATCCCAGCTCCGGACAAAGCGACATGGATGTGTGACCATTGGTACTTAAAGCTCGAATCTGCTTTCTTTTTGACTCTAGTCTGCGTTCTCTAGGACTTGTGCGCAACTGGAGGCCCTGAATGTTGGTCTCTCAGAAAAACCCTGTTCTCAACTGAGTTAGGCCTGACCTAGGACCCTGGGCACAGCACCTCAGAAGCGATTTGCTACATCTGAGCCTCCGAATCACAAGTAACTTGAGGATAACGGCTCCTTTTGGGGCTCCTCTTCCCCACACCCACCTCTCCCTCCCTTTTGACTTTTCACTTTCCCAAATATACTTAAATCTGCAGTTTAGCCTTCGCTCTACTACCACATGCTCAATTGGCTGTCTTCAGATTCCTCTGTCCTGGGGTGGAAATGGCCTTCATAAAGCGAGCCATCCCCACCACCACTGCCCCTGCTTCTCCCAAGGGCTACTCCTGGGCAGTTTCCAGAGGACCCTTCCCCTGGTTGGCATTCTGACGGCATCCTGCATTGTCTTCATCCCTCCCCTAGCACAGAACATTTTTGGAGTTGGAACTTGTAACTCCAGCCCCTCAACAGGCCCATATCATCAGCTGCTTTCTTAGAGCTTGTTGCTCATGCAGCCTCAACTCAGAAACACAAGCTCAAGTTCAGACTCCATCCACCCCAGTCCTGTGCCCTCCAAGTAGCCCCCTGCATCCTGCTGTTAATGCCTTCTCCTGTCTGCTCATATATTCCAACAGCCCTCCCCTGGAGGGGGGCAGACACAGCATTCGTCTCTCAGGGGTGTTGTGAGGGTTCAGTGTGATGATGGATGTGCAAGTGTACATTACAAATAATTCAGGATGATTCCAGGCTACTTAGGGGACTTCCTCTGTTTTTTCCTGAGATACGCTAAATATTTTGCTAAATTAAATGGAAAGTACACAGCAAGACACACTCTCTGAGATATATATTTGATGCAAATATCATAACTTAGATGAACTGATAAAAGGAAATGCTCAGTTTTATATAATTTGTATTGTATTTATACTTGACCGACCCTTCTCTGATAAGAAGGCCATTTCTCAATCGTTGGAAATCCCACTGTGGAGTGGGTTGGGGGGAGCAGGGATTTTATTGGGTGGAGAAATCAGGGTGGGGGCTGGACGTATGGGAAAAAGAGGGCGGGGTATTTAACTTCAGACGGGCGTGTGTCTGTTCAGATGGATGTTGGCTTACCAGCGGGATTTAAGACTGTCCAAGTCAAATCTAAATTTTACTCCCCCAAACATTGCAAGTAACTATTATTTACTTCCATGTCTGTTGTAACAATTTATCTGCAAGGATATAGTTTGTATATTTTGGTAAATAGCTTCAATTTTATTTTGTATTGATTTTAAGTTTTCCTTTTTTAGGGGGTTAAACTGTCCTAGGACATGGAGCTAACATTTAGCAAAAATGTATACGCTATCACCAGTCTTTAAAATGTCCTTAGTGTCACCAGAGGATATCCATTTGAAATGTTAGCTTATGTTTGATATGATATTTCGTTGTAACATAACTTACAACTTCAGACTGATGTTGGGGGTAAAGAGGGAGATCAAGAAAGAAGGATTTTCTAGCATTGATATAATTTTATACTCTTGAGATACAAGGAATTTTATGAACTCCAACAGAATTTGCGCTCGTTTTGCTAACAAAAAAAATTTCATGGAAAAAATTGTGTATTGGGTTCCAATGTATTGCTACTCGGAGGAATAATTTTTAGAAATTTAATTTGATATATTAATAACTAGGGAATTTTTTTCTCAAAAATTATATTCAGGGTATGATGAGGAGACAATGATTTTGAGTAACATCCTTTCTTTCTCTAACCCATTATTTCCCATTTGGAAAATTTGTGATCTGATGTCTTTTTAAATTTCCTATGCTGAAAATTTTAAGTGTTCTTTGCGGCTTTGTATTGGAGTGCACAATCTTTCAGTGTTAGTCTTTTTCAGGGTAGGGGACAGCCTCGTCACAGGCTCCTTCTGGGGAAGAATGGCTAGCTTCCTCCCAATGCAAGATGGGCTACAGCCAGACGCTGCCACACCGACTTCCTTTACGAGGTCTTTTATCTCAAAGAAACGAGATTTATCTTTTATAACCATCATGGACGTCTTATGCTTACTACATCGACACGTGCTTCATGCTCTTTTTGTTAAATTGTTTTTTAAAAGGCAGCTTCTTAAAATGATTCCTTTTTACAAACCTGGGCTCTCTAGACGTGAATACAGTTTAGCTCAGAACCAAAAGACTGTTCTGCAGAGTACAACAGCCTTGGTTTGACAGATGAACGAAGGGAGGCCAGTGCGGGTGGGGGGAAACTTCCACGCCGAAGGGACTGTAAAGTTCCGGAGTCGTGGTGCTGTGTTTTAGTCACTTCCGCTCCCGTCTAAAAAGAAAGGCACTTGCAGGAATTGACTGTCCCCTCTCTGTGCCCTTCCTTCTCGATGGGTTCCACACACACAATATCCAAAGGTATTTTAATATTTCTACGCAACAGAACAGAGGAGTCCCTTTTGTGTCTTTGGGAGATAAACTTGGTCGCTGTCGCCTGCTTTATACAAATACTCTTTTTAAAAGTTTATTGCCAAGAGCCTGTGAATGCTCTGCGTGTTCCAGATGATGATAATGTACTTGTATTTGACCTATTTCAGTGACACTCCCTTGGATTTTTAAAAACCGTTCCCCTTCATTACCATTGCCTTATGAATATTTATAGTCTTTCATAGAAAGAAAGAAGTGATAAGATATTTCACGAAGCGTGTAACTCTTCCTTCCGTGCCTCAGTGCGTCCGCCGCTTTCCCCCGTGTTGTCATCCAGTTGCCACACTTCTGGTCTTCTCCGTCATCATTCCCTTGGCTTTTCCTAAATATGCTTCTTTCAGCTATGTTACTTGCTTTATGCACTGTTTTGAGATCAGTAACTAAATTGACCTTTGTGTAGTGTTGTCTGCTCTGTGGCTAGCAGCCAAGCGAGGAACCTGAGCCCCCTGAGTGATTTATCCGCCCAGTGGTTCCTGTCCCTAGATGGGAAGGATGCATGGTTCCAGTTGCATTTCTGTGACAAGCCGTTGTCTTGTCTTCTGTGAGGTATTTTTTTTTTTTTTCTTTTTTTACTTGGAGTTGCTTGGACACATTGCTCTGATAGACACTGTCAGGGATGAGGGCCTGCTGTGTAGCCTCTGTGTGAGAACATTTCCTCAGGGAGAAAACCCCATTGAACTCCATCTGTAGGCTTTTCTTTCTCTGGTCACCTGCCTCTAGGCGTAGCTCCCAGTACTTGTCCTTGGTGAACTCTGTCCGCCCACTGCCTGTCCCCTCCCAACCTGGACCTCCCTTACTTCCCCATCTTCTCCAAACCTCAGCCCGCCCCCCACATCTGTTCCTCTCCAAGACCTCATTTAAACTCTCCTGATTTGGAGTGCTTTAGGAGAAAAGTGGCCAGCCCAAAATTCTAGTCTACCTGGATTCTCAAATCCTCTTAAATTCTCATAAATTCTTCCAGACACACAGACAACCCTGGAATATTCTCATAGTTCTTCTTTTGATCAGAAGACCCAGGTGGGGTATATCTGCTTTACCCATACTTTTGTTGACCTGCCTGCTCAGAGAAACCCCGCATTTTCCTTCATACTTCTCTCTTTTATAATCCATATCTGTTGTCACCTCGATCTGCCATTTTCTTTCTTTCCTCATCTTCGAAATTATTTTTGCTTCGATGTAGCTCATTCTCTTCTCCATTCTTTTCTGATGGCGGTCTGGCTGCTCATATTTGCCCTTCTGTCTTCCCTCATTGTCTTCTCCTGCCTCTAAGCCACGATTTTTCCTATCACCTTTCACCGCCTTTGTATCATCCTTTCTTGCAATTTTTAGTACATTTTTAACATCTAATTTATCTCATAAAAATAAGTGCATTTTTATGTTTAATCCACACCGGTGGTATTTCATTTGCGGCCTACGAAAAAGCTGCTCTTAGGGCTTGAGATCTGCTTTAACTTCACAAAGAAATGAGTGGTGTAGCATGTAGCTCATAGCAGTGCCCTTGTAGGAGCTGGGCTCACTTCTTCAGGATTACAGCTACTAAATTAGCTGAGAACCCTAGAAATAATGACTTCCATGTCTTTGTAATGGATGTCTTAACTAGATTGGAAATTTTCCCATTTTGCCTATGACCCTTTTGTGCCTCCTGGGAGCTGTAGAGCGCTCTAAGTTGCCTTGATTCTATATTTTCAGCTTAAAAAGATTCTTGTCTTGCAAAATGATTTCTAAAGCAGCGCGTTCTCTTTATTTTCTTCTCTTGACAAATAAGGAGGCATAACGCAGTACTTTAGCAGGTGCAATGAAGGTTGAGACTTTTCTTTTCCTTTGGTAAGAAGCTTCACTGGTGCGGTGGTCCTTCACAGCCTCAGTTTAGATCATTACGGACTTAACTGATAGATTTATCCTCACTGACATCACGATGTTTCCTTGGAGATAAAGTCTTTTGTAGTCTAACAGTTTATACTGACTTTAAAAAAAAAAAAACAACAGAATTTTTAAAACACAACCAACTGATGCTTTATTCCTAGGCCGAAGTTCCTAATCTGGGCTCAATTGGACCACGATTTTATGGCGGCCATGGGGTTCAAAGGTCACTTTTCGAGAATCCCACGAATATCCCGCACTGGAGACTTTTATGTGTTTGTGGCCAAAAGTTCACTGGATTCTCAAAGATATCTGAGTCCCCAAATTTTAGAACCTCCACTTTAAGCTATGCACA